GAGCTGGACGGACAGAGCAGCCGTCCAAATAGCAGGACCTCCCTGGACTCTGCATGTTCCTCTACATGGATGCCTCCTGTGCCAAAGCCACTTCTTCTTGGCAAAAGTTGAAGTCCTGGGCTCCTGCCCAGGGGATTATGTGAATGAAGGACAGGAGAGGACCCCAGGTTGCCTGTAGGCCAGCCCCTCCCATCAATAGAACCCTGCTAGCAGTACCCCATTATTCTTGGCAAGGTGAGTGTGGTGTCTGGGATGGGATGGCCTGTGAGCTGGCAGCCCTTCTGTGCTTTCCTTCATCCCTGAATATGTGAAGAAGCAGGGGAAGGAAGGACAGAAAAAGGCCTGGGTTCAGAATTGGACAACCAGCGTTGGGTCCTGCTCTGTAGCCTTCAGAAGCCTCAGTTTGTCATCTGTGAAATGGGGATAATGAGCCCTTGCTCAGCTAGCTTCATGAGGCTTGACATCAAGACACGATGCGCAAACAAAACTCCACCCTTCATCACAGTGCACCTGGTTTTCATGTAGGGTGGCCCCTTGGGGCAACCATCTCCCGGGATCTGCTCTAGCTCCTACAGATCCTGGAGTTCTAACTGCCCACAGTGGGATTTGCTGGTCTTCCCTGAAGAATGCCATGTGTGGCTGGCTCAGCCTGGGCAGCAGCAGCTGCCGAGGTTGCACATGGCCAGGAGCCCAGGAAGACAGAGCCAGGAGAGGGACAGGGAGAGTGGAAATGCACTCTGTGAGGGAGCGGAACATGTATGTGGGACTCTACAACCAAGGCTCTGGGGTTGTTATTGTTTTTTAATGTTGGGAAAACAAAGAAAGAAGCATTGAAAATAAGAGGGACAGGGACAGAGCGAGAAGGGAGTGGCTTTGGGGGTGGGGGAAAGGCAGAATGTTGATGACCAGGCAGTGATGACTGTTATCTACAGAGACACTTAGTAGATGGGGGGGGGGGGACGGGGGTGGCAAGGGAACACCCTTCTGTAAGCAAGAAGTTAATAAGGGTGTGTGATCAGGGGGAGGAACCTTGAGAGCAGCAGGCATGAAGCAGACCTGCCTCAGCACAGTGGAGGGAGAGAACCCACTCCTGAAAGTAGTCTCTGGTCAGCATATGTGCACCCCAACACACTAAACAAATGTAACATCAAACAAAGCAGTTAGCAGGCTGTCAAGATGGCTCAGCGGATAAAGGTGATTCCCTCAGGTCCTGAGTTCAAGCCCCAGGACCCACATGGAGGAGAGAGAAAAAGAACTGGCTCCCACAGTTCTCCTCTGATCACCACAGGCATGCTGCAGCATGCACATGCCCTCAGTCACACGTTAAATAAATAAATAAATGTAGTAAGCATTTTAAAACAAAGTTAATACGGGGGCTGAGGAGACATCTCAGCTTCTAAAGTGCCTTGCAAGCATGAGGATCGGAGTTCAGATTCCCAGAACACATGTGAAAACCAGTCAGGAGCTGTAATCCCAGTGTTTAACAGTTTTTCTTCCCTCCCCTCCCATCCTGTCCCCTTCCTTCCTCTTCCCTCCTGTCCCTTTCCCTTCTCATCCCTCCCCTTCCCTTCTCCTTTCTCCTTTCTTTTTTTCCTCCATGTTTCTGCTCCCCTCTCCTTTTCTTTTTCGAGGACAGGCTTTTCTGTAATCCAAGCTGGCCTCAGACTATGTAGCCAAAGCTGGTTTTGAGTTCCTGGTCCTTCCACCGCCCCAGGAACTCAAAGTTTAACAGCTAATTTCTTCAATTGATTGCTTTAAAACCTGAATGGGTTTGTTTGAAAGGAGGCTGTGCATTGCTACTATGAATGGCATTATGAGAGGGAAAGAATCTTAAAAAAACACAGCAAACTAAAAGATGCTATTAAATTCCAGTTACAAGCTGTGTAGGGTAGGAATGGGGAGGGGCAATAGAATAAGGTTAATAGCCAGCTGTGTCTTTTTCCATGGAGTATTTAGAAAGGTTAGAATGGGCACTATGTGGGGAATTAGTCCTATCTAATGCCCCTCCCCCACATACACACCAAAAATAATAAATAGAGAAACCGGCTCTAATCTAAATATCAGACTTTTGAGAAGTAGGTTAAAGCTTACTTTTTTTTTTCTTTTTTTTCTTTTTTTTTTTTGAGTTTTTGGGTTTGTATGTTTACATCATGTGAGCAGGACACTGACGAACACCATCTCCGTCCTGGAGTTTTGACCTGGTGCACAGGCCTGGGCATCTGACGGTGCTGTGGCATTGAGCCTGGCTGGTGAACTTCTATTGGAAGGTCAGAAGTGCAGTTATTTGGAGGCAGCGTGTGGTGGCACTGGGCGTGACGCAGCCTCAACAAAGGGGAATTTGTCCCTGAGAAAGGAATTGGAGGAATCTCTGAGTTGGTGAACTAGCTGCTTCAAGCTGCCTGGACCTCCCTGAATGTGTTCTGTGGCTGCACAGCTCCTGGCTCATGTGATGAGTTCTCATCTTGGAGACTAGCCCTATGTGAGCCCATGAGCTGCAGCCAGTCCCAGAGGAAATAATGGAGGAACAGTAAGCATGTCAGGGGGGAGAGCTGGCAGAGATGGGCGGAGGGTGTGTGTCCACCAGAGGGGGCAGCAGGATAGTTGGTACCAGAAAAGTTCAGTCTTGGACAATTCCATTTCATACCTGTGCACGCTCAAACTACTGAGGTGAAAGTTTCAGGAGAGCTGGGTCCTTGCTTTATCTCAGAAGGTCTCCATGTCCATGTCATAATGCGGAAAGTACAAAGCCAAATGGAGAAGCCAGACAAGAGCTCACAAACTGTCCCATTATCTAGTGTCCACAGCAGGCCAGTCCAGAGACAGGGCTGAGGGGAAGGATGACTGCGTAATGGGTAATGGTAATGTTAGCGATGCTAGGCACTGGGTAGTGATAATGGGTATGTAGTGTTTAAACATAATGCCACCAGGGGCAAATTTTATTCAATCATATTTACCTCCAATAAAGCATCTTTTCTGAAAATAATTGTGTGTCATGCATATGTGTGCATCTTCCTGGGGACCACTTGCCAGTATGTGTACACTCATTGACCAGAAGTCATTGTCAGGCACTTTCCCTATCAGTCTCCATCTTGTTTTCAAGACAGGATCTTCACGAACCTGGAATTCACCATTTTGGCTAGACTGGCTGACCAGAATGCAAGGATCTGGCCATCTCCTCCTCACTACATGGGGTAGGGGTGGGGAGTTAATAGCACACTTTGAAATACCCAAGTTTTTATGTGGGTCTGGACTCAAGTCCTCAGGCTTGTGCGGCTTCCTGGCCTATAGACGACTCTTGGAATGTTCCCTTTTCCTTCTTAGCTTGCCTTTCTCTCTCCTGTTCTTGTTTTCTCTGTGTCTCTCTCTGTCTCTATGTCATATCTCTTATTCTCTATTGGTCTCTCTCTCTCTGTCACACACACACACACACACACACACACACACACACACACGAGTACTCGGCTCAAACCTCAAGATCTGGCACATCTAGGCCAGCACTCTGTCACTGAGCTAGACCTCCACCCCTAGATGGCTTTGTCATTACAAAGGAAAAGTAGGTGAATGCTGCGGACCATAACCAGCTGACCAGCTGGCCCCACCAACCATGGGACAGACTGACACTGTGTCTGCTAGTGGGATATACTGAAGCCATACCCCTTAGTAGCACTTCCACTAAGAGCCTGCACTGAATCATGGGTGTGATCACAGTCTTAGCTATTTTGATGAGCTCTAGAATCACTAGGAGACAGGCCTCTGGCCAGGCCTGTGGGGATTATCTTGACTAGGTTAACTGAAGAGGGAAGACACATCTACTCTGGTGGCATCATTCCCTGGATGGATCCTTTGCTGCACAAAAAGGAAGTGAGCTGAGCACAGGCATCCGTCCTCTGTTTCCCTGCTCACACACGGCAAGCCTTCAGCACCCTAGAGCAGGCCCATCTTTCTTCAGTGTGGTATAATGCTTAGATTTCACAGGGCAGTTGTGTCCTGTTCTCTATTATTCATATTGTCCTATCAGAGTTTTTAATTACCCAGAAATCTCAGGGGCTGAACATCCAGTCCTGTCAATCATAATCTCAGTTCAAGGTATAAGGCTTCAATGTTACCTAGCCGCACTGCCCCACCTTAAAGTGTAAGGGATTCTGGGAAGTGTTGTCTTCCTGTAGGACCAGAGAAGAGAGTGAAATCAAACCTGTCTGCCATACATCATATGTATATTTCAGGAGTGTTCAAATGTGTATATAAGCTGAACTCAGAGGCATATACATTTAGTCTAAGAACCTGGGAGGCAGAGGCAGGTGGCTCTCTGTGAGTTTCAGGCTAGCTTGGTCTACATAGCGAGTACCAGGCCAGCCAGTACTACACACTGAGACCCTGTCTCAAAATAAAAAAGTACAAAAACAAAACAAAGCAAAATCTACATGTGTTCATGTATGATGTGTGGTATGTGTGGACATACATGCCACAGCACACATGTGGAGGCCAGAGGACAACGTGGTGGAGTCGGTTCTCTCTGTCCACCTGTAAGTAGGTTCTAGGGATTGAACTCAGGTCATCAGGCTTCCATTTTGTTGATGTGATAAGTGTTTGTAGATCCATGTGCCCGGGCTCTGTTGCTTCTGAAACGGGGCTCATGTAAGTCAGGCCAGCCTGTTGGGCTCACCGTGTTGCTTAGGACTTGGGATTATAATTCTTCTTCCTCCATTGCCCAAGTGCTGGGATTACAGGCATGTTTATATTTAAGTAGTGGTGGGGAATCTAACCTAGGGCCTCATGCATGCTATGCAAAAGTTCTACAAGCTGAGCTACTGTCCCAGCTCTGAATTAGAGAGAGATTCTAATTGTTCACCATCCTGGTGCTCTACCTAGATCCAGCACTGCAGAGCCCTCCAGACTTTGGTACGGTGAAGTCTCCAGGCAAGAAGGTGGGAAGAGCGGTCCCAAAGTTTCAGAGATCCTGCTAAAAGTTGTTGATTTGAGTTTTGTCTTGTTGTTGACAGGTTGGATTTGTCTCTTCCATCTTCTCTGGCTCCTCATCCCTCTCTGGACTTCGAAGTTGCCCCCTCGGCTTTCCCTGCCCTGTGAACATGTTGGTGATTCTGGCCTTCATCATCGTCTTCCACATCGTCTCTGCGGCGCTGTTGTTCATTTCCACCATTGACAATGTACGTACCTATTCCTGTCAGCCACCAAGAGTCATGTGGGGACCATAGATTAGGGGGGATGTGACCGTGATCTGGTCGGTCCTGTCTGCTAAGGCATCTTTCCATCCCAGGCCTCGGGGCTCTCATCCTGGCCATGGGACTTTGGGAATGTCCTGTGCTTGGGTTTGAGTGAGGTCCTGTGAGACAGAGTTAGTTGATATGATGCTCACCTCCCAGAAGCCCCTGCAGGCGAGTTGAGCTCTCCTGCGGTTCTCAGCCTCTGCACTATTATCATTTGGAGGTAGATAATTCTCCTGAATATTCTCCTGAATTCTACTGAATATTTTTTATTCTTTAAATATATTTATTTCATTTTATGTATATGGGTATTTTGCCTGCATGCTTTTGTGTACACTACCTGTACATGCCTGGTACCCCAAGAAGTCAGAAAAGGGCCTTGCTCCCCTGAAACTGGAGTTACAGATGGTTGTGAGCCACCATGTGAGTGTTGGGAACCAAACCTGACTCCTCTCACATGTCCTTAACCACTGAGCCATCTGTCTAGCTTCTATTTTTACTTTTTAAATTAGAATACAAAGTAAGTTCTTTAAAGCTTTGATTGTTCTACTTCAGACAAGGAGTTAAATATTAAAATACATGAGGAACTATAAAACTTACACACACAGTTAATAAATAGCTCAACAAACTGAACAGACAGTTTTCAAACCAAATACATGTAGCAAATAGAGAATTTTTAAAGCGTTCAACATCCTCAGCCATCAGGGTAATGCAAATGAAAGGGACTGTGAGATTCCGTGTCACCTCTGTCACAGTGATGCTCATCAGAACAAATGACAACCTTCTGTTCAATGGCGTAGCTGCTGCGAAGCCTGTGCCCCACCTACACCCGTGCAGACACCCCCACCAGGAAAGACACGAAAGTAAGAAGGAAACTGTTGGAAAGAAGAGGGGGTTCTGTGGGAGAGGAAGGAGGATGAGTGACGGTGCTAGGGAGAGAGGACGAGAGTGCCAAAACACACCGTCTACGTGTGTGAAGTCCTCGAGGGAGTTTTAGAAAACAAACAACAAAACCTCCCAAGATTCTGAGGTGAGGAAGGAGTGTGATAGGCTACGTGTGAGGCAGACGTAGAGGTGTGCTTGTGGGTGTGGGGGTAGTTACAGGCGGGGCAGGGCTGTGTCTGGTGTGTGGGGTGTACGTGTCTGTCTTTGTGTGTCTGACTGGTGTGTGTCTGTCTGGTGTGTGTGTGTTGTCTGTCTGGTGTATGTGTCTGGTGTGTGTGTGTTTATCTGGTGTGTGTGTGTATGGTGTGTGTGGTGTGTGTGTCTGTGTCTGGTGTATGTGTATGTGTGTGGTGTATGTCTGGTGTGTTTGTGTGTTTATCTGGTGTGTGTGTGTGTGTATGGTGTGTGAGGTGTGTGGTGTGTGTATCTGTGTATGGTGTTTCTGTGTCTGGTGTATGTATATGTGTGTCTGGTGTGTTCGTGTGTAAGATTTAGACTGGCTGATGTGAGCTGAGTGGTCTGACAGCAGCTGTCTCACACTGGAGAGGTCCAGAGCTCGGAGCTGCTAGCCCCAAGGCCGATGCCTCACAGCCTGAGTCTGGCACTGAGGTTTGCAGGCCGTGGGGGTGGATAGCCAAAGACACTCTATTCATGTGAGCAAAGGGGGGTGGCAGCCACAGACATGATCACCCAGGAAGAACAGGGCTTGTACACACACACTCATGAATGTACTTGAACACTGGAGCACACACACATAAACACATGTGCAGACCACATAGCAGACACATGCATGCACTTGCACACACACACACACACACACACACACACACACACACACACACACTCATGTGTACCACACACACCATACATACCAAACACAGACAGGCATACACACACACGCCCACACAAAAACACACAGGCACACACATACCACACACACATACCACACACACGTGCACATACACAAATGCACGTGCGCACACACACACACCACACAAATACCTCATACAGTAGATACACACACCAGACACATACAGCAGACACACACACACAGCAGACACACATACACCTACTACACACATACCACACACACCAGACACATACACACATGCACACACACACCAGACATATACACATATGCACACACACAGCACACACGTATACAAACTACACTGCTTCCTCCCACTTCCTCCCCTAGGCCACCGGCTCACTGGGTGGACAGCGCTGTCTGTATTCAGGGCGAGTCTCATTTTCTCCTGTTACTCTCCCATGTCGGCCCCCTTTAGAAACACCCTCACAGACACACAGGTCATCTCGTTGTCTTTGTGGACAGCCACGGTCACACATCCCAAAGTGCATATGGCTCCCAGGCAGCCTGCACATCCACCTCCCAATGAGTCCTAACAGTGCAACGTTGTTACTCTTGACACTGACCCCTGGGCAGCACTCAGCCCCCTGTGTGCTCTATCTTGGGGATCTTGGAGGTGGGGGCTCACTGCTGGTTCTCAGGGGCTGACCTACATCAGTCCTGGCCTGGCAGGAGCCTGCACCGCTGTGACAGGTAGAGCCAGGACTGGATGATCTCAGAGGCTCCCGGTTAGACTCCGCCAGGGGGTCTGAGCAGTCGGCCTTCCAGAGGGTCTTGCTGCGCTGCTGAGTGGCAGTGTGGCCACGAAGATGTGTGAAGCCACCAAGGAAAGGGCCCTCAATGTGAAAACAAACAAACCAACGGTACCAAAGTTTCTTCGAGAGTTCTTGTTCTTTTGTGTCCAGCAGCTAGTCCTCTGGATCCCAAAGAGGTCCATGCTGAGTGAAAGGCTTAGGCAGGCTCTGGGCAGGTGTGTGCTCCCAACCCAGGTGTTTACATTAGGAGGACACTAACAGAAAGAACGGGTAGAGGTGGCCACCCGTGAGTCAGCCCTGTTCAGCGTGCACTTGAAATTTGTCTTGCAGTTGTGGCTGGATGTGAGGTGGGAGCCCAGGGACGTTTGTGGGCCCAGTGTGAGGGCAGGGGGTGGCCAGCCTTTCAGGCACGGGCCATGGTGCATGTATGGAGGTTTCCTTCCACCATGTGGATCCTGGGATTAAATTCAGGTCATCGGGCTCAGCAGCAAGGGCAGGGCCTTTCCTCACTCCTGAGCCATCTCACCAGCCCGTTGAAATTTCACCCTTTGTTGAAATTAATTTTTAGGTTAACATATAGAGTAATGTGTTTAATCATGGTATCTTCACACATGTGTGACATTATACTTTGTTGTCATTGTTCCCCTTCCCCTACTGCCCTTCCTGGCCACCCCCTCTCCAGCTGGAACCTTTTTCATCCCAGTTACACACACACACACACACACACACACACACACACACACACACACACA